GTCTCGAACCCACGGGCTCAGGCAATCCACTCACCTCAACCTCCCAAAGTGCTGGGATTACAGGCTGAGCCACCGAGCCCGGCTAAAAAAATTTTTTTTGAGTCAGAGTCTCATTCTGTCACCCAGGCTAGAGTGCAGTGGCATGCTCATGGCCACCGCAGCCTTGACCTGCTGGGTTCAGATGATCCTTCTGCCTCAGCCTTCAAGTGTCACCGCGCCCAGCTGATTTTTTGATTTATTGTAGAGACAAGGGCACACCAAGTTGCCCAGGCTGGTCTCAAACCCCTAGGCTCAGGCAATCCTCTCACCTCGCTCTCCCAAAGTGCAGGAATTATAGGCATGAGCCATAGCACCTGGCTGACAAAGGTTTTTGAAGGAAAAAAATTAGGAGGATCACGTAATTGTTTTGCAATAATTATCCTTGGCTACCAAAATCACTAACAAGGGTGACTCGGCAGAGTGCAGTGGCTCTCGCCTGAAATCTCAGCACTTTGGGAGGCAGAGACGGGAGGACCGCCTAAGCCCAAGAGTTGGAGGCTGCACATCTTTGCTGACGTGTCTTCTATGTAAGGCTGTGACAGCCTTTGTGCACAGTTGTAGGGCTTCCAGAGTCTTCTTTGTTATCAGGCATGCAAGTGTAAGCACCCTCTCCTCACGGCATCCCCCGGCCCTGCCTGTCGGTTTTTTTCTTTTTTTTTTTTAACATTGGTGACCCCATTTTGATTGGGACAACATTCACAGCTAATACACACAGAGCGCTAGAGACACGCCTGGCACATAGCAGGCGGTCAAGCGCCGCTGCTGCTGACTCGCTAGTTTATTCTAGATCCACTCCCCACCCCCACCACCAACTAGACTGTCAGCCCCAAGAGAGCGAGGCCCTGTGTGACCTGCCTGCTGTCACACCCCCTGGGCATCGCACAGTGCCCGGACACAGCATGTGCCCATTAAGTTATTTAGTGAGGCCGGGCACAGTGGTTCATGCCTATAATCCCAGCACTTTGGGAGGCCGAGGTGGGAGGATTGCTGGAGTCCGGGGAGTTGAGACCAGTCTGGGCAGCATAGTGACATAGCGAGACCCTGTCTCTCTAAAAAAAAAAAAAGAAAAAGAAAAAGAAAAGGAATGCAAAATACCCCATTGATAATTTCTGCATCGATTCTATGTTGCAAGGATACTTACTCTTCAGAATCAACGGGGTTAAATAAAGCATACAATGGAAATGACTTCCATCTGCTCCTCGCTACTTTTCCTAATATACCAACTCCTCCCCGTGCTGTTGCACAGTGCTGCTCTGTGCTGCCCGTCAGAAGATGACAGTGTGGACAGGCTGCCTCCTCCCTGGTGACTGAGCAGTTTCTCCAGACCCGAGCACACCATCCCACCCAGCTCCCGGCATGGTGGCTTGGACACCTGTAATTCACTCCCGCATGTGCTAACAAGTTTCTATCCGTGGCCTGCTAGCCAACAACAAGATGAATTTCCACCCACAAAGGCAGGGAAGTGCTTCTGAATCTAGAGATTTCCAGGGGGTGGACCAGAGGAGCCTGCCAGGGTGACTCTGAGCACAGTGTCCAGAATGAACTGCTGAGAAAACCACACGGTTCCACGCATGGCCAGTGCCTCTGAGCACCCATCCCCCACCCCCACACAGGACTGCACCCCTAACCACTCAGCCTGCCCCTAGGCCTCTGCTCAGCCTGTTCTCCTGTGACACCCGCCACGTGGTCCCAACTTCACGGGCTCCGCCTCCTCCCAGGCACCCAATCCATGTCTGTTCCTCCAGCAGGTGGAAGACTTGCTTTTGCCTGTTGTGTTCCCATGGTTTCCCAGGCAAAATAAAAATAACTGCGGAAGGCACGCCTGGCATCTGCCCCATCTCTCCGCTTGGGCGTGGTAGGGGGATGGCGGGGGATGCTGCCGATCAAGCCTCCCAGCTCACCCATTCAGGAGCTGGACCCACGCTGAATGCCATTTAAGTGCATCTCAAATTGCACCCGTGTGGGCCGTTTCATGTGAGCCCAGCAGGGATCTGGAAAGCCGTGGAAGCAACACTCCCCCACACAGAGGCCCCGCGGGCCCTCAGATGCCACCAGATGCCACCACGTGCAGAGGAAGCAGCTCAGGGCTGTCGGGTCCACAGCCTAGGACTCCCTGAGGCCTCTGGGGCTTCACCGGGGCAAGCAGGGGAATCTCCAGCTCGACCCCAGAAGCCTCTGGGTGCCCTGCAGAAGTGTCAGAAGTTCAACAGTCCCCATATGACTCAGCAATCCCCTCCTAGGCATACACCCCATGGAACCAAAAGCATGTCCACACAAAAGCCTTGGCACAAGTGTCCCCACAGCACTATTCACAACAGCCACAGGGTGGAAACAGCTCACAAGTCCCTCGACAGATGAATGGATCAACAAAATAAGGCTATCCAGATGACGGAAGATGATTCCGGCATCAAAAGGAATGAAGGCCTGACACAGAGTACACAGTCTGAACTTTTATTTTTTTGAGTTGGAGTCTCCCTCTGTCACCCAGACTGGAGTGAAGTGGCACACTCAGGGCCACCGCAGCCTCGACCTGCTGGGCTCTGGCGATCCTTCCGCCTCAGCCTTCC